GGGTGATTTCGTTGCTTAGATTTAGTGTATAATTTCAGAATATTGGGTGTTGTAATATTGTTTGAACTCTGGTTGCATGAATGGACTGTTAAACATTTGGTAAGGGAAAATTACTTGAAGATGACAATTAGTCTCTTGTTTGAAATCAGGGCTTGTTGTATGGCATATTGTCCATAACTCTGTTTTACACTCTGAAAGCATCACTGTTTGCGCTTGGTTAGAACAACCTCTAAATAGCCTCTGTTAGTTTTAATCTCATATGCTTGTTTGTGGGAAGTTAGTTTAAGAACAAATTAACATGCAAGCATGAGCACGTCTTTAATTCTGGCATCAGTATTTCAATTCAGTGCTTGGGTTTATAGACCTTTTGTGCGGTTTGGTTGAACATTTGTTTTGGTTCCAATCCTTTTTTGCTTATTTGGACTAGTCAAATTACTGAGTGTTGATTTGTTTGTATCAACTTACTCGGGTTTTGGTTTTGTTCTATATACAAGCATGTTCATCTCTGAGGTTAGGTTTGGAATCCATTTAAAAAATGGTTGAAAATTGGTTTTGCACCTTATGATCAGATGGTAATGTGGTTTGGAGATTTGAGCCAGAATGTTTAGTTGGGAATAATTAAAATCAGAAAGCCTGACCATTAATTATTTCTTGGTGTTTAAAATTAAAATTTTAATTTACTAAATCAATCTCATCAGTAATTGACATTATTTGGGTGTTCTGGACATGAAGAACTGGGCCTCACGCGGGCCCAGCTGCAAAGTATGTTAGATACAGACCTCTGGTGCTTTCTCTTATTAGAGCTGGGGCTCAACTTAAACCCAAAAAACTTGAAGACATTTCCGAGGGGTTTCGTTTTTTTAGTGCTTGAAATAATTTCCTTTTGGGTTTGTAACTTCATAATGCAATGCGTTTTAGGAATCCGATAATGTATAATCCTTAGCTTAAATAAGTAAAAGTTCCGCAATTTTCTTTTAGTTGATTAATTGATTTTTTTTAAAAGCAATTCGAGGTGCGCCGTGCCAAACAAAAGGACAATTGCATGGCCCTCGTTTCAATTAATTTTATTTAAGTCCTTAGAATTCGAGGCGTGCCATCTAGTGGAATCTCCATGGCCCTCGCAAAGTTGCAAACGCGTAGTTGCTTTAGGCGCGTTCTTTTAATAACCTACCTTCCTAAACTCGGGTGCGCATTTATGCGACCCAAATCCAAATCTCAACGTTAGATAAAATGTGTTATGGACTGCGGGTGCATTTATGTGACGTGGTTCGAAACATATTTTAAATGACGTTGCAATCTTCCTTTAATTAATTAAATAAAAGCGGTTAAAAAGTTAAAATTGCACAATAGGTCTAAAATGTTTTAAATCAGATAATTAAGCCGAATTTAATAGTTGAGCGACCGTGCTAGAACCACGTAACTCGGGAATGCCTAACACCTTCTCCCGGGTTAACAGAATTCCTTACCCGGATTTCTGGTTCACGGACTGTAATACAGAGTCAATCTTTTCCTCGATTCGGGATTTGAACCGGTGACTTGGGACACCATAAATTATCCCAAGTGGAGACTCTGAATCTCTTAATAAACAATTCCGTTTTGATTGTCCTTTAATTGGAGAAACTCCCTTTTATACCCTCTCCCGGGGGTGTAGGTAAAAAAGGAGGTGTGACAGCAGGTATCTGTGTGAGTGGGTACTGCTTGAGAGTTTGACATGTTGATTCCTGAAATTAAAAACACTTACGAGAACAAGCATAAAATCAGTGTGTGTTATGAGGATTAATACTAGGCAATCACTATTATCCTTAGCCCCACGGTGGGCACCAAACTGTTACCCTAAAATTTGGATAACAATTAAACTTATAATGTGGTTTTAAGGATATGTGATTTCACCTAATACCAATTGATAAACGTAAAGATAACTGATGCAAATTGACAATAATATAAAGCAAACCAGCGTTTGGACAGAGCCCTGAGCTTGGACATCCTCGAGCTAGTTATGCAAGAATAGTTAAAGACACAATAAGCTGATGAACAAGAAAGTAACTGAGAAATATTATATTGCTTTGATATTCGTGAATGTAAGGTCTCTACAAATGATGAGGACTCCTCTTTATATAGTAGAGGAATTCTAATTATGGTATAATTCTAATTACAGAAGAAAATTCTATGATTAGCCTAAACAACCGCCCTTGATCTGATCCGTTCCGGGATCTCCGCCATGATTTCGACCTGTTACGGATGTTTCGCTTTTCCATTACTACCCGAAGTCTATCATATTCGATCTCGATCGCTGCTGGCCTCGATCTCGACAGGCACCTCGATCCTCGAATTAGCTACCTTGTCTTCGTGCTCTGGTCTGATCCACTACGAGGCTGACCCTCGACCCAATTCCGTGGTTTCGATCGAACAACAAAATCGGATAAGTCCGATTTTAACCGTATACACAATGTTCTTTTAAGTTATATGTATGAAAGATGAATAAAGCAAATTACTTGTAGTAGAAAACATCTAAACACAAGAGTAGTGATTGCCTCACCGTTCTTGACCAAAAAAGAAATGTGACGGACAAGACAAGATTCACCAAAACTATTGCACGTGAAATATTATTAAATTAAATAAATAATCCAAACGACTTAAAAAGATAAAAGAAATTCTCATCTTTGATTCCCTTATCAATTTTTGACTAATTGTTGATTTCATTGACCAATAAAATGCTCATTTACCGAACCAATGTCTTTTTCACCAACTACTTTATTCAATAATTTGCACTTCGAGGACCCCGTTGTTTCACTTTACATCACTTGATAATACCAAACTTTGACAAAAAAAGGAAAAAATGAAAAAGAAAAAGGTTATTGACATTATTATATCGACAAACATAGTTATACTTTTTGGTTATCTTGTACCTTGTGTGATTGAAAGTCTAAAATTCATAAAGTGGTAGTTAGGAACTTAGGACACAGTATGATTGTCATATAACTGCTTACAAAATTCTTGTGCATAAATTAAATTCTTATAAATTGGAGAAGAATTGAATTTGATTATCCAAAAAGTAAATCTATGTTTGGAAACAAGTCTCTCTCTCTCTCGTTTTTCTTTTTATTTTCTCCACTGACAGATAAATAGAGAAATTTAATGCTGTCGAATAAGAAAGAATTTTGCTTTTAATTACCGATAAAGATAAACGTTATACCAATGGTAACATTCCACTACTAAAGAGAAATCTTGTTCAACCTATTGTTTGCGTGAATAATAATGGGGTCAAATAACTTTTCTTATTTTTTTCTGCCTACACAGATTTATACTATCTTAAAAAAATTGCATATAAAGCAGAAAATAAAAAAAAATAAAAAATCAAGAAAGATGTCACGATGTCTACAGACATCCCATGCCCTATAATACCTGGCATTCTCACTCCCCCTTGCCAAACCTATATATTTTATTCTTACTCAAACAAATTAGCAAATTTTAAGTTCGAGAATCAACTTCTCTAATTTTTAAATATAAATTTGATACCGGTTCTTAATTTTTTCTCAAAATATAATATCATTTTCATAATTAAAAATTAAAACATAATTAAATTAATTTTAGAAACTATAGTTGGCGAGCATTAATTTTGAGTTTAAGTTTTATATAGTGATTTTTCCTTTTTGAGTTTTAATTTTATGCAGTGAAAAAGTCTAATTTTTATGCCATCACAGATAAACAGGTGTAACTATTCATTACAAACCTGATAAGGCAACAAGAAAAATAGAAGAATAGTCTATTATAATCGATAAAATTACACTAATATTGTAATAATTCAATATTGTTATATTATGTATATATCTTAAATCCATTATTTTCCCCTGTCAACATCCTTTTTCAATTTCAACTGGTCCCCAAAGCTCTCTTATGTAATTTCCAGTTCAATCAGCTCACTCTCTACACACTAAAAAAGTGCAGTCCAGTGCACAAAGTATTTTACATTTACGTAAAATTTGGAGAAGGGTCGTATCCCAAAGGATGTGATTAGAGCTGTCAATATTGGCGACGTCGGGCTAGCCCAGCCAGCCCATGTGGGCTTTAGCAATTAACGGGCTGGGCTGGGCTAGCCCACCATTTTGATGGGCCTTATAATAGTCAGTCCACCCCAGCCCTATGTGGGCCGCGGGACCCCACGGGCCGGCCCATTATTTTTTAAATATAATTATATATTTTTTTAAGTTCTAACCTAAAAAAAGATAAATATTTAAAAGTTAAAAAAATCTTATTGAATTTTTTTTACATAACTTAATAACTTTTTATACTGTTCCAATATACCACAATAAATACTAAAAAGGTAAAAGATAAGACTATATTTCATTCACTAAAAGTCAAAACTCAAAAAAAATATTCAAGAGAACGTCCATGACGCTTATGGGATATCCAACACACACATCATCTTCATCAAACACATTTGAGTCCGCTTGTGAGAAGGTTGGCTTAACATCCTTACTTTAATCTACATTTATAATTCGTATGCAATATTAATTAGTTAAATACTAAGAATAATTAAATTTTTAAAACTAATTAATGTTTTAAGACTTTGATCTTTTAATATGATGAACTTAATAAACTTTAAGCTTGGGATACTCTTCTTGTTATTTTTTGTGTCATATACTTTTTATATTTTATATATTTTAAATACGTATTTTTATTAGGCCCACGGGCCGGCCCAGCCCAGCCTCAGTCAAGCCTCACGGGCCATGGGCTTACTCGGGCCGGGCTTAAAAGCCTCGTTTTTAAATGGGCTCCAAATATCCTAGCCCGGCCCTGCTAAATCACGGGCTGGGCTGGCCCAACAGACCAAGCCCATATTGACGGCTCTAGATGTGATATAGACCGCCTACCCTAATGCAAGCATTATAACTACTTTTACGGCTCGAACTCATACCCTAAAGTCATAGGGAGACAACTTCACCGTTGCTCGAAGGCTTTCACTACTCACATTCCACGGAGACAACTCTCCACACACTCTTTCCTATATATACATCATCTACATTTACATTCTCTTGTAATTTCACTCTCTCCATTCTTCTTCTCTTTCTTCTTTTTCCCCAAAACACACTTCAATTCCCCAGTCCTTTTTGGCCCATTATTCCTCTCTGATTTGCTGCAGAAACAGAACACAACAGAAAATCAGATATATTCCCTTTAGTCATCAGTATAGTACAATTAAATAACCACCATTCTTGATTTGTGCAAAACTAACCACAATCTGTTGTGTCAAAACTGACCAAAAAAGATGATATCTTGGCACGATCTTTATGTTGTCTTGACAGCAGTTGTTCCTCTATATGTGGCCATGATCTTGGCCTATGGTTCAGTCCGATGGTGGAAAATATTCTCCCCTGATCAATGCTCCGGCATCAACCGTTTCGTCGCTATTTTCGCCGTCCCTTTATTGTCCTTCCACTTCATTTCAATGAACAATCCTTATGATATGAACTTCCGTTTCATTGCTGCTGATACACTACAAAAAATCATCATGTTAGTAGTGTTATGTTTATGGGCTAACTTGACCAAAAATGGTAGTCTTGAATGGAGCATAACAATTTTCTCACTTTCAACACTTCCTAATACACTTGTAATGGGAATTCCTTTATTAATTGCTATGTATGGTGAGTACTCAGGTAGTTTAATGGTACAAGTTGTGGTGTTACAATGTATTATTTGGTACACCCTTTTGCTATTCTTGTTCGAATATCGCGGCGCAAAGATGTTGATCATGGAACAATTCCCTGAAACAGCAGGAGAAATTGTTTCATTGAAAGTTGAATCTGATGTTGTTTCCTTAGATGGCCAAGATTTTCTTGAAACAGATGCTGAAATTGGCCAAGATGGTAAACTTCATGTCACTGTACGAAAATCGAATGTGTCAAGAAGGTCATTTGCTATGACACCAAGACCATCAAATCTGACTGGAGCTGAAATTTATAGCTTAAGTTCATCAAGAAATCCAACTCCAAGAGGGTCTAATTTCAATCACACCGATTTTTACGCGATGATGGGTTTTCCAGGAAGGTTATCAAATTTTGGTCCCGCGGATACAACTCCTAGACCATCTAATTTCGAAGAAACCTGTGCTCAGGGAGCTCTGACTCAGAGCTCCCCGAGATTCGGGTTTTACCCTGCACAGTCTAATTTGCCGGCTTCTTATCCGGCCCCAAATCCGGAAATTGCTTCTATAGTTCCTAAAAACACGAAAATTCAGCAACAAGTACATTTACAGCAACAGCAGAATGGTAGGGCTAGCCATGATGCTAAGGAGCTCCATATGTTTGTCTGGAGCTCCAGTGCTTCACCCGTGTCGGAGGCCGCTGGCCTCCACGTGTTTGGTGGCACTGATTTTGGTGCTAATGAACAATCTTGTCGGTCTGACGGTGCCAAAGAAATTAGAATGTTGGTTTCTGATCACCCTCAAAATGGAGATAACAAAGGTATAATTCTTTTGTACTATTACTGTGTCGTTTTCCGTTGACTGTCAACTTATCGTAATCCTTCTTTGTTTGTGGGTTTTTACCTGATAATTTAATTTTTTTGAAGCTATTTCCCAAGATAGTGACTTTGGTGGTGAAGAATTCAGTTTTGGAGGTGTTATTGGTGATGGGAAGGATAGAGATGAAAAAAAGGAAGAGAAAGAGGGTCTCACCGGATTACATACCAAGGCTGCCGGAGTTCAAGATTCCGGTGCCGGAAAACAAATGCCTCCGGCCAGTGTTATGACACGTTTGATTTTAATCATGGTTTGGCGCAAGCTTATCCGAAACCCGAATACGTACTCGAGCCTTATTGGTCTAATTTGGTCCCTAATCTCGTATCGGTAATTGAGCTAATCATCCTATTAAGTTAATGATTGATTGTCTCAACTTCTTGAAATATTTTCAGTTGATTTATAAATTGATTAGGGATGATGTTGGAATTTTCCATTGATTAATGCGGTTTGTTTTGTCCTTTTATTGTAGGTGGCATGTGCATATGCCCAAAATCATGGAGAAGTCAATCTCTATTCTCTCTGACGCTGGTCTTGGAATGGCTATGTTTAGTTTAGGTAAGTATTCATACTTATGAAAATGTAACTTGAGGAGTACAAAAAAAAACTCTCTATAACAACTTTATTTGTTGCGATATTTTTTAGCTACTATAGTGAAGTGCTATTATAAAGGACATATATTATAACATAACATAATAATCGGTTCCGAGAATAACTTGACTTTTATAGTGAATGCATGTTATAGAGAGGTCTAAGTGTAACTTATTAATCATAAATAGTTAGTGCATAGAGGCGGATTCAACAATGACTTCGTGAGTGACTCAAAGTCCGGTGCTTCGCTCCGACCCTATATAGATGTACAAATAGAGTTAAGAATATTTATAATTCGCTCTCCCAACTAAGAACCCATAATGTTTAAATTCTAGCCCCGACATTGCTAGTGAAAATGTTGATAATGGATTGTGACATTGGGGATTTCGTTATGGATTGATGATAGGTTTATTTATGGCACTTCAACCTAAGATAATTGCATGTGGGAACACAGTGGCTGCTTTCGCCATGGCTGTGAGATTTCTCACTGGCCCAGCAGTTATGGCTGCAGCTTCAATTATCGTTGGCCTTCGTGGTACGCTCCTACATGTCGCCATTGTACAGGTAAACCATACATAATTAACAGTTGTTCTCTTTTAATATATTGTCTACTATTGGTTGGCAAGAAATGACAAAATTCCTATCCCTTATTTAATGCATTGGCGCCGAAAGAGTTTAAGTTATATATATTGCCACTCAGTTGCGAAGTCAAAAAATTTTCTAGGGTATTCAATATATGTTATATACCTCTAAAACCTAATATTTTACCTATATATATAATATATTTTTTTGATGAAGGATAATCAATTGACCACCCTCGATAGGCTTCGCCCCTGTCGTCATTGTAAAAGTTTTTTTACACCATCAGGTCAAGCAAAAGATATCTGTATGTAAGTCTCTCCTTAATATGTGAGATTCGTAATCTTAAAAATAACATATGTTACCTGGTACAAGAGGTAAAAGTGATTTGATGGTGTAAGAATTGCTTGCACTGACAATATAAATAATATAAACTCATTCAGAAATAATAGTTCACCAAGAGTTTGAAGGAATTATATATATTTTCCCCTTTTCTTCCTTATTTTATGAATAATTCAATACAATTGTTTGAAATGTTTGTATGTTAGGCTGCATTGCCACAAGGGATTGTTCCGTTTGTGTTTGCTAAGGAGTACAATGTTCATCCAGCTATTCTTAGCACTGCGTAAGTAAATTTCGCCTAGCTAGTTTCTTGAATTTCTTTTTTCTCTTCTAAATTCTTAATTGACTAAGTAAATTTTTCTCGGAATTTCAGGGTTATTTTTGGAATGTTGATAGCATTACCAATCACATTAGTCTACTACATTATCCTGGGATTATAAGATAATTAAGGATCAAGCACCAAATCTCCTGATTGTTGAAGTCTGCGATTGTGTTGTTTATATTATATGCAAGTGATTCCAGCCTTTTTGCTGTCGCTAATAGCCATCTGCATGATGAACCGGGTCTTCGGGTGTTTTGACACAAGTGGGAAAAATAAATAGCTGAGGAAATGGAATAATATTGTGCATAAAAGCTTAGTGGACATCAATTACTTACTGACAAGAGAAGTGGTTTTTGGTTAATTAGAAGAGTTCATTTCATGGCAATTAGAACATGTTTGGCTTAATTAGTCTGGAACCCTGATATTTGCCTCCATCTGAAGGGAACAACTCATCAAAAAATTCAAAAATGAAGGAAAAACAAATTGGGATTAGTCTAGTTGGAAGGGGACAAGAAGGCACCAAACATGCTATGATAATAGTCTTGTTTCTCTTCATAACCATTTCACATGTAAAAAAAGAATCACTCCAAAACAATTCATATGTACAATTGAGGTTGATTTTGAGCTTTTGATTTTTTAATGCTGAGCAATGGTAGATTTTTAATTTTTAGTTTTAACTTGTTCTTTTTTAATCTTTATTGAATTCCTTTGCGTCGGTTTATTGTAAGTCATTAAATAGTAACATATTTTGTTCACTTCTGCAGGTAATTGCTTTAGATTTGTAAGATTATGGTCCAAATCTCATGTTTGTTTCCTATAATGGATATGAAAGTGATGTTTTTCATCCACTAAAGTTTATTGTGGATGACTCCCTTCTCTCTTCCTGTTTTTTCACACTTCTCCGTATCCAAGAAAATAAATAAATAATGAAAAAGATATTAAGCTTCCATCTCATAGAAAAGTTACTATAAATATGCAGGGGGGGGGGGGAGGGGGGTTATGGTAGGTCTTAGGAAGCGAAAAAAACAAAGCAACCTTCCTATGCTAAGGCTCTTTAGTGGATCTTTATACCTTTTTTTTCGGATACACTATATAACCCAGTGGCGAAGCCAGAAATGTTTTCAAGGGTGTTCAAACTTGAAAGAATTAAAAAAAAAAATCCAATAAAGGGTGTTTAACATAGGTTTTATATATCTAAAATCAATATTTTACTTATATACACAGTGTAATTTTTCGTAATTTTTCGGCGAATGACCACCCTTTGCTAAACGTGGCTTCGCCCACGGTATAACCGGTATCAATATATATACATATATCTATACTATATTAAAAGCACGAAGGCCCTTAGCGAAATGTCGTTCGCCTTTTTTACCCTTTAAAAATATATTATATATTGTATAAAATAGTAACTTAAATTATTTGCCTAAAATTTAGGGCTTCAAAATTAACTATTTTTGGTATAGTAAATACTTCCTTGTTTAAAATAGGTATGAATCCTAATTTATAGGACTTACTTTTATCGCGTTTGTTTTTTCATTTCTTTTATTAATAAGAGATAATGTGCTTATTATATTTTCAATTCTAGATTATTTAATAAAATACTTGCAATAAAACACTAAAATTTAAAACTAACCTTTTTTTCCATTTTAAAATTGATCTTTATAAGCAAAAACGAAAATCTGAAGTTCCTCCAATTTAATGTTAATTATTATATAAAAAAATACTTCATTTAATTATTTTTATAATTATTAGAAGTTTAAAATTAATAAAACTTTTTTTTTATTATTTGGACTAAAATTTCTAATACTTAGAACTTTAAACTACTAAAATTTTACTTTATATAGATCATTCACTTAAGTTATGCGGGTTGCCATATGCATGGGACTACCCTTTTTTTAATTCTAATTCTAAGTCATTCTCTAGAGTTAATATGTCATGGAAAGTCTTCTTTCAATTATAAATTCTCTCACAAGCTTGCTTTAGTATCCTTTTAAATGTATTTTTTTAAATTTTCATTGCTATTTAATTTGATTTTGTGATCATATGAAAGTTGTAGATTATTATTTGCATGATTATATATTTTAAGTTATCCTCTAGTACTATTCAGGTTTTTAAGGACTTGTTCTTGCTGAAACTGAAAAAGGAAGCATGATAACTTGTGAAATTAAAGTTCTAAGGTTTTTAAGGACTTCTTCTTGCTGAAACTGAAAAAGGAAGCATGGTAACTTGTGAAATTAAAGTTATAATATTATTTAAACTGAAATAATGTTTAAGTTGAATTATTGACTTATGATTGAGGATTTTTACGAGAGCTTCTTTATTTATTGAGTTATTATGCACATTTAACATATATAATTATCTTTAGGAACTTATACTTTTATTTTATTATTTAAACATAAATTTTGAATAAATTAGTATTCATTGAGATAGAATACACGCGCATCGCGTGTACCTTGAGGCTAGTGTGTGTGTATATATATATATATATATATATATGTTATATACAAAAATTATATAAATTTTATATACTTTTTCGGCTACGTGAGTGTAAATAATTTCTGACGCGAGCTAAAAGTAAAAAAAAAAAAAATTGTTCATTCTCTTAGGCAACAAGGCATTTTAGATAAGAGGGGCAGCAATATGAGATAGATCATCTAAAGAAAGCAAGCGAAAAGTGGAAAGTGTTGCCTATTGAGCTATATTGTAGAAAACTAAATAAGTAGTCGGTAACCTATATACATATATATATAATTATTTTGGTCGATCAACCAAATGTGTAACTTGCCCCCATAATATGCCCATAATCCTGAACGGGTTGTAATACAGTGAACATATCACAAGGCAAGTCACATCAAAATATGACCTATATCTACCATCTTTATTCCAATATAGTATTGTTTATAAATTCTTTAAGCCTCTCAATGTGTGTGTATGTATATACACAGATATGTTCATCTTTACTCCACTATTAAGCCTCTCAATATATATATATACTTATACTTTTGACACTATTAATTAGGTTCACCACTTGTTGCTTAAAGTAAGACACAAATATTTGTGTACTTAAAAATTATCTTATTAATCGTAAAATATAAAGTTTAAAGTTTAATTAATTTTAGATATAAAAAAATATCGTTCCTTTGGAACAAACAATAAGGAAAGCGCATCGGATAAATTATGTTGAGATAATTTGAATTGTAGCATATCACATTTTCCATTTCAATACTCTTTTATTTTATTATATTGTGGAAGATCGTGAGTTAACTAGCATACAATTAGACACAAAACAAATTGAGAAGAAAAAGAACTCAGGTTTTAACGAGGTTCGACTAAGCCTAATCCTCGGGACAAAAGCAGATAGAGTTTTTCACTATAAATTAGAAGAATAATGCAATAAAATGAACCATCAACTACAACTTTTTATATCTTAGATCCCAAGTAATCCCAAACTTATAGGAAAAAAGTTTTTTCTCAATCTTACAAGGACAATAAGTTTTTTTTTTTTTCAAATCTGTTAGAACAATGAGTTTCTCAAACCAATAGGGTTATGGATTTCCAAAATGCATTAGGAAATTTAATATATCTAGGATTCATAAAATTCAAGACACAATTAATATGATCATTGTCTGAAAAATAAAAATATTTGATAGATGACTTGAATGCTTCAAGCAATCTTTTTATTTGTAGTTGAGGATTCTTTCAAAGATTTTTATTTTCAGACAATGATCATGTTAATTATTTCTTTAATTTTATGAATCCTATAGTTATATTAGATTTTCTATTATTCTTAGGAAATTCATAATCCATATAGATTTGGGGAACCCATTATTCTAATAGATTTGGAAATGAATACTTATTATTTTTTGGATTGAACAAACCTTTCTCTTATAGGTTTAAGATTATTTGGGATGTAATATGTAAAAAGTTATAGTCGGGATTCATTGTATTGCGTTATTTTTCTCATTCATATTGAAAAACTCTCTCTGATTTTGCCTCGAGGATTAGCCTTAGCCGAACCTCATTAAATCATTGTATTCTTCTTCTTCTTTATTTATTTTGTATGTAATTGTGTGCTAGTTACCCCACGATCTTTCGCAATAATTAGTATCAGAGCTAGGCATGTTTTTATTCAGAGTTAAGATGTCTCATCATCTTCAATGAAGTACGAATTAGTAGAAAAATTCTATGAAGTTAGGATAAAATCGTCTTTGGTGTTACAAGGCGATTGATGAAGATTTTCCAGAGAGATGAAAGAGTCAGATAAAACAGACCTGAAAGAGAGGGCTTTGCGTGCGATCTTCATAAGCGTTACAGATAATGTTCTTCGCAAAATTGCTAAAGAAACTTTTGTAGCAACGACATAAAAGAAGCTAATGGGTCTATATTTTAAAAAATCGCTAACAAATCATCTTTACTTGAAAAAGAGTTTGTAAAATCTTTGTATGAACGAAGCTACACCAATTAAACTTAAGTTTAATTCAATTATAATGGATCTGAAGAACGTAAACATTAAAATTGAGAATGAGGATCATTCCTTGATCGTGTTATGTTATTTACCACTATCTTACAATACTTTGTTGATAGGTTGCTATATGGAAAAGACAGTATTTCAATGGATTATGTTAGTAATGCAATAAAATCTTAAAAATTATGAAGTTTCAAGAAAACAGAATTGAGGGCGATGGTCTTGTGAGTACGGGAAGAACACAACAGAAAGACTTTAATATAAAAAAGACTAACACTGGATCAAAGTCTAGAGAAAGAAATTATAACTGCTATAAATGCGAGGAGCATGATTATTGTAGGAGAGATTTTCAAGCTATAAGATAAATTGAGGAAGCAGATAGTAGATAATTCTGCAAATATTATTGACACTTGTAACAATTCTAATGATAATGACGATGTAAGAAAAGTTTGTGCCGTGAGTTCTAGTCATGGTCAAAATTCCTAGGTTCTTGATTCTGATGCAATTTTCATATATCTTCACATAAAGAATTGATTTACAACTTACAAGTAGATGAGGGAGACTATCTACTTGGAGATAATAATCCATTATTGGAGAGGGAATTGATAACATCAGATAGATAGTGTTCGATAAAGTTATCAGAAACATTGAGTGTTGATATGTTACTTATGTAAAAAGAATTTTAATTTTTTTTCCCGGCATTGGATGATTTATGTTCCAGTTCAAGAATAGAACACATAAAGTATGTAAAGATTTTAAGGTGCTCATGAAGGGTAAGCTACATTCTAGACTGTATTATCTTCAGGCCAGCGTAGTTGATAGAAAAACTGCTGTACCTTTTGAAAAGGAGTGATGAATCAATCTTAGTTGTGGCACTGCGACTTAGTCATATGAGTGAAAAAGGATTGTATTTGTTGAGCAAGCAAAATTTGTTGGATGGATACAAAAATTATTTAAATTTGTATGAACATTGTATGTTTGATAATTAGATAAGGGTGAATTCAGCAAGAAGACAGATTACAAGACCACAGGCAAGTTAGATTATATACATTCAGATTTGTGGGGTTCAAATAGATTTCCTTTCAAGAATGGTGCAAGGTATTTTATGACTTTGATTGATGATTACTTAAGTATGGGGTGGGCATATTTTCTGCAAATAAAAGATGATACATTTTTGACAATTCTTAAACAAAGACGATGGTTGAGACACAATTACAAAGAAAAGTTAAGCGTCTTCGGACTGAAAATGTGCTAGAATTTTTCAATTCAAAGTTCAATATCCTACATCAG